TGGGGACATTGGGAAACTTATTTTTGCCCCGAAAATTTAGATTTTTCGTTATTTTATGGAGATTTTTATGGGAAATAACATAAATTACAATAACTTTTGAACCAAAATTTTTACAAAAATGGGAGTCACACCATTTTGTTCAGAATATAAAGGGCTACATCATTCTAAATTTTTATCACAAGACTTTCGTTTGCACCTATGATGAGCATAAGAATGACACCTCAATCGTAAAAATCGGTTTAGTATGACGGATTCGCTAAGTCGGCAGGTTTGCTGCAGCGGGGGTATTTTCTAATCAAAGAGAACATAGTTTAATGAACCTTTCATATGATCTTCTGCTATTGGAGTTATTAATCCCTTCCCTTTAAGTTTTCACTTGGCTCTTGCATAACTTATATCTCAGAGGGATTTCTGAGATAAGCTTCATATAAAATTCTCACTTCCAACAAAAGGCACAAAAAGTAATGCCCAGTACACTCATAGCATTGATTTGTAACAACGTGCGACTGTATTTTTTGGGAGGAGCGAGTTGGTTTCGTGTGAGAACACTGGACTTCGGTCCCCGAGGTCCCTGATTCAAATCCCGTCGATCACCAATCAATTAAATAACGTCATTTTTGTAACCTGCATCAAATAACAAGAACATTGAGCCCAAACACGAAATAATTTCGATGATAAAAAGCCTACCACGACACGAAAACTGTCTATTATTTTAAAACCAAATGTATACTTAATATCGTCGCCACAACCAAGCTTAATGTACCAGCCCCAGGTTGTTTTAGAAATGGGTGTAAGAGGTTCACTGAGTCTAAGTGTTGTGAAAGTCGTATTTAAACAATAGTTATGAAATTGGCCCCAAAAGGGTGCAGCACTATTATTATTTGCTAGACACGAGCACAAACTACTTATGATTTAATTAAGAAGTTACCAGAAAATGAAAATGTATTTCTTACGAGAGCACAAAAGGTTATCTAATTTTTCAAGAAAAATATTTTCGTATACAGATCCTGGAGTTCTATACAAACCAACCAATAAAAATATGAAATCATTAACTCTTGCCTCAATCATACAACATTCAAAATACTTATCCTTAACCAAATTTTCAACTGCAGGAATTATAATTTTTTTAACTTTAATATGGTTACAGTCACGAGAAAGAATCATAACACCTCCACCTAAGTAGGTTTTCCTACAGTAATAGCTTACAATATTATAGTTAGAAATGTGTGCAAAATTAATTTCATCATTATTGAGCTTGTGTTCACTAAGAATAACAAAATGGGGCTTTAGTTCGTCTAAAATAATTTCAAGGGATGAAGTACGAGATGAAAAATGCTGGATATTTTGATGGAGAATTAAAACGTTAGAGGAATGTTTGTTTGTTATTTTACATTATTTACAGTAGTATCTTTACAGCTCAACCAACCATTTGGCAAAAAAGATACATTTTCAGAGATGTCTAGTGGGTTTTCAAAATCCAAATTCATAAAAGTTTGACTTTCCAGTCGTTTTTTGTTAGTTAAATGAACATCATCCATGTTATTTTGACTATTATTTATGTGTATTTCATTATCAATTGAATGTATCTTTTTTGACAATAATAATTTCCTATCTATAAAAAATCATTCTCATTGCTGCCAGAAATGGGAGTCTTTGGCAGATCAATATTACCCTGGGTATCACTTGTACTCTGCTTTTCACTACCACTTTTGCACTTGATATTTTCACTATGCTGTAACTGGTAGTGTGATGGGGTGAGTGGAGGGAAGGTGTTGAGGCTGGCCAGGGTAGGCACATCATCGTCTGGCCTCTGAGATGTTGGATGGTCATGGTGGGGTGATGGACCTGGAGTCGCCACAGCTTCAGACATAGCAGCATCCTGCTCAGTAGCTGACAACTTTGTATGCCTCTGTATTTCCTTTCTAAGTCTTGACAGAAAAGCTGAATGAGACAGTCCATTTCTCAATACTCGATCAGAGTCCTGGTCATGGAAGATGATGATGATCCTAGCTCCGGTCTGTACATGAAAATATAGGGCATTTGAGACAAACTGGTGAAGCTTAATATGATCTCGCACGCTGAGTATCAATGAAATCATCTTTTTTTGGCCTTCCGAATGTTTGTCTAAATGTAACTGCCACTCCAGCGCTCATGTTTCTATTACAGTTTTTGTCGGCAGAAATAGTATGAGCAAACGCAACTGTGGAGTCAGCTTTATACTTTTCAAAAGTTTGTCTCATATTTTTGTCCCTAACATCAACCATGTTTTCTTCAAATGTTAACTCATTGTAAGATGGGTCTTGGGGTTGTGGATAAAAAATATCTTGCAACATGCAAGCAATTTTATTTTTGCCCAATCTGTTGAAGTGAAGGCCGTATTTTGTGTACAGCGTACGGGAGAGGTCACCTAGTGGTAACAGAACTGCATGCTTAGCATTATTTACCAACTGCTCTATCTCCATATTCAAGCAAGTAACTTTATTATTTAGTTGGGCTGCATGATACTTGTATGGTAATTCTGCTACAATCAAATTAGTGTGCGCTGTCATATCAATGATCTTCTTAAAAGCATCAAGTAGAGGTCCAGCAGAGCTGTCATCACTGAGATCATCGTTAGTTCCAGCTATAATAATAACGTAGTCCTCCGATCCGAATGACTTTGTAAGTGCTACAAGGTTCTCTGTAACCCCATTGAGCTTGGCGTTAGGCTTGTATATGCTGCATATATTATCTAATCTGTTAGGCCAAATCTTCGTTAAGTACGAGTAAATATCCCTTCCATGACTATCTGCTAAGATTAAGATGTTGCGCTTTCCCTCTCCAGCATTACTAACTAGATGATTGTCACTATGTTGTATGTTTGTTATCAGGGGTTGCTTCTTTGACTTATGGTTTGCTATAGTTTCAATACATGATTGTGGATTATATTGCAAAACTATGTCTACTGTATCATTGGTCTCAGAAGATGATAATATTTCAAAGCTGTTTTGTAATGCAATTGTTGGTGAAGATTGTTCTTGTACAGGTGCATGTTTTGTCTTTTGTGTCTTATCCTTCTTTTTGTTTCCTTCATTACAATGGGATGAATCCACTGTTTAGTATTGACATTGCCTTTGCTGCTAGGAAGTTGGGGGCTTACAATGCCGTCACACAGCTGACAGAGTAGCAGTCGTGCAGTGACAATGACGTGTAAGCCGTACTCAAAGTTGCGTACTTGCTGTGCAACCACAGCATCCCCTAGAACCACACCATTAAGCCCAATCTGCTGTAGAAGTGTCTCCGCGTGCCGCTTATTAATGCCCCGAGCTGAGTCATAATGTAAAGCCGAATTAGCTTGGCTGTCGAAAAGAACCAAACTCCAGTGCGTTCCTCCTTTTACAGTATTTTCCTCCCAGTTCACAGTGTTGCTGTTATTAATACAGAAGAAAACAAATTTCATATCACTAAAAGACAAGTTGTTTAAGGTTTTCTCAACGTCTGTTTTAGTTTGGAGCTTCAATAGCTGCGACACTGCAGGCCCAATAAACAATATGTCATTTCTCAGTTTTTGAGATTCTGACTGAAGCATTGCAAAGTAGGAAGAAATTGTGTCATCTGATAACCAATTATCATTTGAACATAGTTTTGGTTGAAACGTTACGTTAGACAGCAAATTAGAACTTGATAGTACTGTACTGATTGTGGAATTACTCGATGCGTTTTGTTCAGTTTGGGTCCCAGCAGTCATAGTAGATTTACTTTCTTTGTTTGTATGCATTTGTGTTAGTTCCTCATTTAGTTTGTTAATCAGGCATTCCTTATTTTTTAACTGCCCTTTTAGATGAGAGATGTCTACCTTGAGATTTTCTATTTCAGTTCTAAATTTAGAGGATAACTCATCAGACTCTTCTTCAGCTAACCTCAGAGACGTTTCCATTTTCCTTTTTTCAAACATAAGTTGATTGTTGATTTCGCTTAGTTCTAAAACACTAGTTCCATCCTCGGATTCATTTTGTTTATCAGGATCATAAATAAACTCATCTGCTGTATTGTTGCAAAAAGAATTAGCTTCATCAATTGCTAGTTTTAGTGGGTTTGATAATTTCTTGGACGGTAAAATATTTTCTACATACATAGAGGAATCAAATATATCCATTTGTTTGCAGGTGCCAGTTTGACCAGTTCCAAAAAATTTTAACTTATATTTGTCTTTTTCAATTGTAGTTATTAAAGCAGGCCGTGGCTTATGACCTTTTATCTTAGCAAAAACCACATCATTAATCGAAAACATTATTCACATTTGCAGAAAATTTATTTAAGTTAATATCCAGTGATGTAGTTCATAAATGGTTCAAATTCGAAATAAACATACAGCTGATTAGGTACTATGAGCAGTCCTTGATTGATAAGGAGCAGTTTGTCTGTGGTCAGTGAGGTCGCTGAATTTTTATTTCAGGATTAGTGTTGCCTTCAGTATTATTTTGAGGCTTCTGATTGGCTGAGGGAACATCATTACCGCGACGATAAACCTTCATTTGATTTTTCATTATTAGCAAGTCTGGTTAGTTTGGTTAGGTTATGATGGTTTAATTTTATAATAAAAAAATTATCAAATAGGATTTGAGGCATTTATGATTTTATTTTATGAACAGAACTATTTTTTCGATTAATAAACCTTCATTCGATTTTTTCATTGTCAGCACGTTTGGTTGGTTTGGTTAGGTTATGACGGTTTCATATTTCATAATAAAAAAATATAAAATTGAATTTGAGGCACTTGTAATTTTATTCTATGAACAAAAATAATTTTTAATTACTAAACCTTCTTTTTAGTAAATCAGAAGCCTCTAAATGACACTGTTGGCAAAATTAATCCTGAAAAACAAATTGTGCAGTGAGGTCAGGGTTCAAAAGCTGTCGTCAGTCTGTATTGTTTAGACACCAGTGCCTAACATGTCTTTGAACCGGTCTAGTTCCTAACCTGTCCAGATCATGATCTAAGCAGATCAATACATAGGAATTCAGAACCCAATTTAAAAAGTAGTGTCAATTATATTTGTTTTTGTGATGTTTGTTAGTTTGTTTATATAATAATCAAACTGTTTTAATTATTATTCAGAATACAATTCCCAGTGATATAAAATACTTTGCACATTGTCAGTGCTCTTAATTTAGGAATAAAAGTGGTCTGAAGTGGTTTTAAACACCACTGAAAACATGTGAAAATGTGCAGCCAATTTGTAAGTAGAACTATTTGAGATGTTTTTAAGTTTATTTACTGCCTTCTTTGAATGGTTATATGAAAGTTTTGTTAAAAAACTGTTCTTCTATCAATATTACTTACTTGTAGCTACTTTTAAAAGTTGAATAACACAGTATTTCATAGATAAAATAGAACACTTTAGAACAAGACTTTCTAAATTTAGTAGCAGATGGTTACTTTTTACCATTATATCTACAACTACTGTAATATACCTCCATACTTATACAACTACACTGTCTGTAATTTACCTGCTTTACAACTGTAACTTACCTCTACACTTATACATCTACAATATCTATAATTTACCTGTTCACCATTTTATCTACAACTGTAACTTTACTTCCACACTTATACATCTACACTGTTTGTAATTTACCTGCTTACCATTCTATCTACAACTGTAACTTACCTCCACACTTATACATCTACAAAATCTTTTATTCACCTGCTTTACAACTATAACTTACCTCTACACTTATACATCTACAATATCTATAATTTACGTGTTTACCGTTTTATCTACAACTGTAACTTTACTTCCACACTTATACATCTACACTGTTTGTAATTTACCTGCTTACCATTCTATCTACAACTGTAACTTACCTCCACACTTATACATCTACAATATCTATAATTTACGTGTTTACCGTTTTATCTACAACTGTAACTTTACTTCCACACTTATACATCTACACTGTTTGTAATTTACCTGCTTACCATTCTATCTACAACTATAACTTACCTCTACACTTATACATCTACAATATCTCTACTTTACCTGCTTACCATTCTATCTACACCTGTAACTTACCTCCACACTTATACATCTACAATATCTATAATTTACGTGTTTACCGTTTTATCTACAACTGTAACTTTACTTCCACACTTATACATCTACACTGTTTGTAATTTACCTGCTTACCATTCTATCTACAACTGTAACTTACTTCCACACTTATACATCTACAATATCTCTACTTTACCTGCTTACCATTCTATCTACAACTGTAACTCACCTCCACACTTATACATCTACAATATCTCTACATTACCTGCTTACCATTATATCTACAACTGTAACTTACCTCCACACTTATACATCTACAATATCTCTACTTTACCTGCTTACCATTATATCTACAACTGTAACTTACCTCTACACTTATACATCTACAATATCTCTACTTTACCTGCTTACCATTCTATCTACAACTGTAACTTACCTCCACACTTATACATCTACAATATCTCTACATTACCTGCTTACCATTCTATCTACAACTGTAACTTACCTCCACACATATACATCTACAATATCTCTACTTTACCTGCTTACCATTATATCTACAACTGTAACTTACCTCCACACTTATACATCTACAATATCTCTACTTTACCTGCTTACCATTCTATCTACAACTGTAACTTACCTCCACACTTATACATCTACAATATCTCTACATTACCTGCTTACCATTATATCTACAACTGTAACTCACCTCCACACTTATACATCTACAATATCTCTACTTTACCTGCTTACCATTCTATCTACAACTGTAACTTACCTCCACACTTATACATCTACAATATCTCTACATTACGTCTTACCATTATATCTACAACTGTAACTCACCTCCACACTTATACATCTACAATATCTCTACTTTACCTGCTTACCATTCTATCTACAACTGTAACTTACCTCCACACATATACATCTACAATATCTCTACTTAAACTGCTTACCATTCTATCTGCAACTGTAACTCACCTCTACATTTATACATCTACAATATCTCTACTTTACCTGCTTACCATTCTATCTACAACTGTAACTCACCTCCACACATATACATCTACAATATCTCTACTTTTCCTGCTTACCATTCTATCTACAACTGTAACTTACCTCCACACATATACATCTACAATATCTCTACTTTACCTGCTTACCATTATATCTACAACTGTAACTCACCTCCACACTTATACATCTACAATATCTCTACTTTACCTGCTTACCATTCTATCTACAACTGTAACTTACCTCCACACATATACATCTACAATATCTCTACTTTACCTGCTTACCATTCTATCTACAACTGTAACTTACCTCCACACTTATACATCTACAATACCTCTACTTTACCTGCTTACCATTCTATCTACAACTGTAACTTACCTCCACACTTATACATCTATAATATCTCTACTTTACCTGCTTACCATTCTATCTACAACTGTAACTTACCTCCACACATATACATCTACAATATCTCTACTTTACCTGCTTACCATTCTATCTACAACTGTAACTTACCTCCACACTTATACATCTACAATATCTCTACTTTACCTGCTTACCATTCTATCTACAACTGTAACTCACCTCCACACATATACATCTACAACATCTCTACTTTTCCTGCTTACCATTCTATCTACAACTGTAACTTACCTCCACACATATACATCTACAATATCTCTACTTTACCTGCTTACCATTATATCTACAACTGTAACTCACCTCCACACTTATACATCTACAATATCTCTACTTTTCCTGCTTACCATTCTATCTACAACTGTAACTTACCTCCACACATATACATCTACAATATCTCTACTTTACCTGCTTACCATTCTATCTACAACTGTAACTTACCTCCACACTTATACATCTACAATATCTCTACATTACCTGCTTACCATTATATCTACAACTGTAACTCACCTCCACACTTATACATCTACAATATCTCTACTTTACCTGCTTACCATTCTATCTACAACTGTAACTTACCTCCACACATATACATCTACAATATTTCTACTTTACCTGCTTACCATTATATCTACAACTGTAACTCACCTCCACACTTATACATCTACAATATCTCTACTTTACCTGCTTACCATTCTATCTACAACTGTAACTTACCTCCACACATATACATCTACAATATCTCTACTTTACCTGCTTACCATTATATCTACAACTGTAACTTACCTCCACACTTATACATCTACAATATCTCTACTTTTCCTGCTTACCATTCTATCTACAACTGTAACTACCTCTACACTTATACATCTACAATATCTATAATTTACCTATTTACCATTTTATATACAACTGTAACTTACCTCCATACGTATACATCTACACTGTCTGTAATTTACCTGCTTACCATTATATCTACAACTGTAAAATACCTCTACACTTATACATCTACAATATCTGTTATTTACCTGCTAATCATTATATCTACAACCGTAACATACCTCCACACTTATTCATCTACACTGTCTGTAATTTACCTGCTTACCATTCTATCTACAACTGTAACTTACCTCCACACTTATACATCTACAATATCTCTACTTTTCCTGCTTACCATTCTATCTACAACTGTAACTACCTCTACACTTATACATCTACAATATCTATAATTTACCTATTTACCATTTTATATACAACTGTAACTTACCTCCATACGTATACATCTACACTGTCTGTAATTTACCTGCTTACCATTATATCTACAACTGTAAAATACCTCTACACTTATACATCTACAATATCTGTTATTTACCTGCTAATCATTATATCTACAACCGTAACATACCTCCACACTTATTCATCTACACTGTCTGTAATTTACCTGCTTACCATTCTATCTACAACTGTAACTTACCTCCACACTTATACATCTTCAATATCTCTACATTACCTGCTTACCATTATATCTACAACAGTAACTTATCTCCACACTTATACATCTACACTGTCAGTAATTTACAGGCTTTACAACTGTAACTACCTCCACACTTATACATCTACAATATCTCTACTTTACCTGCTTACCATTCTATCTACAACTGTAACTTACCTCCACACTTATACATCTACACTGTTTGTAATTTGCCTGCTTACCATTCTATCTACAACTGTAACTTACCTCCACACTTGTAGTTTTGAGGTTTACTTCGATTACAGGGTGGGAGGTGCCGGGTTAGAGTGTTTGAACTCATTGAGAATTTGGTGTGTATTAAATTTGAAAATAACAAGAAGTTAGAAAGAAAAATATGTTTCATCATAGAATAACCAACACAAGTAGACTTCTTATCCCATGGTAAATTTTGAGGCTCGTTTTTCGTATCTAGTTCATGTACAGTGATACTGAGCGCTAATGTCGACAAAATTTTGTTTATATCATTTTAGGGTTAATTTCTTGATTTGTGCCTTACTGTTTGGTTATAGAACTAGGATACGAGTTAATGTTTATGATTAGACCGTATTATTTGGTTAAAGAATTTTCTGTCATGAAAGCAAGTGGTAAACGTTTAATATAAGAACATACTTTCATAATTCCTTAACAGTTTGGTTTTCATATCAAATCTGTTAAGCAATGGACAGCCTTTTTTTTACAAAAGGAGATCAAGATTTGGAGAAGACAAATTTGCCACAAGTTGAATGGCAAATTGAATATCCAGTATTCAATCCTACATCAAAGAAGAACTTGCAGCATGAAACTTCTAATGCGCTGAATGAAGTGTCTTCGCAGATGTTGAAGCAATCAATGTCAAGAGGAACTTGTAAAACCTCTTAACCATAGTATCAATCTTAGTTTCAAACATGGCCTCGTCCCTAAGAAAATGAAATCATCCAAAGTGATCAAGTTAGGATGCAAACATGAACTAGGCAATTATAGACCTATTTTCTTGGTTTCAATTTTCTCAAAGTTGTTGGAGAAAGTAGTTCTGTCCAGAGTAATAAATCATCTAAAGAAGAATGGCACTGTCCTGGACAAACAGCACGGCTTCACCAGCAAAAAACACGCGTCAACAGCTCTGATTTCTTCCTTTTGATGACATTATGGATAGGCTCGAAGAAGGTGAAACTATCATAGGCATTTTTCTTGATCTTTAAGGCCTTTTGATTGTCTCAGTCACATTCTGATACTAGACAAACTTCATGCCCTTGGTTTTGAAGAAACAGCACTTGCATGGTTTCACATTTTCTTATTAGTAGGGAACAAGTTGTTGAAATTAAGCAAACCAGGAACAGCACATTCACTGATGTGAGATCTCATAAACTTGCAGTAGATAGAGGTGTCCCTCAGGGATCAGTCTACCTGTTATAGGTGGGACCAAATGGTAAAGAGGAAGTGTTTGGCAATGTTGTGTGAGTAGAACCAATAACTTGTTGTGCTGACCTATAGAAGACTATTGCTTTAAGTACGTGTTCTTAGTCTGGGAGTCAATTTTGTGTGTTGGAGGACAGGGTCCCTCTGGGGGGAGCATAAGTCACCGTCCAGGTAAAATATTTATTAACAATTTTAAAATTGTTGTTTTAGAGTCTTTTTCTAAATTGGAGTTTATATTTTGAAACGTAAATCATAGCACTACTCCAAACTCTTAATCCTTTACATTTAGTTTCCTTGTATTGCTTGTTAGTGGTCTAATAGCTAACAGCTGGACTTTTCTTTTCAATGGGAGACTTTCGAGATAGGAGATGATGTCCTGCTGACAGACAACTACTGGACTTTGACCTTGCAATCTTTTCCAAGTTTCAATGGGAAATCTGAAAATGGAAACTTAAAACCTAACCTGGGCAATTACAAAAGTAGAACGGGTAGTCTATTCCATCATGACCACTGCTCCAGGGACTTTGAATTGGAGAAGAAGACTTACAGCTGATTCAATCGGCGACTTCCTAAGCTAGTGCTGCCCTACAGCTACAGAAGGGAAATTCCACACTCTCACGTCAAATGAGGAGAACGTCAACAGCACTCACCAAAACAATCATCAGCTACGAACATCTAAATTGGAATGAACATATTACATATTTGGTTGGTAAAATTAATTCAGGCTTGTTTGTTTTGAGATCAATGGCTTATCTCTGTGATAAAGCTTTGTTAAAATTGATATACCACTCGCTTATAGAATGTCATAGGCCTATTGGCTACGGAATCGAAATTTATGGTGGGACAGCCCGAAAAAATTTGAAAAAGCTTTTAAAACTGCAAAAACAGGCCATTAGAGTTATTGAAAAATTTAAGGTTAAGAAGTCGATGAAAAAGTACTTTAAAGAAATGAAAATTTTACAGTGTACGGTTTGTATATTTTTAAAACTATTCGGCATGTTTATAAAGATAAAAACACTGAACTATCCCATAAATAAAATACAAGGTGGAAAAATCTTACTTGTAAAAAGTCATCATCGTCTGAAACTTTAAAAAATGAAGCCTTCATATATTGGCAATTTATTCATTAAAAGTTTGCCTGCCTTACTAAAAAAAGATCAAAACAAACCCAATTTTTTGAAGAAGCTAAAATCATTCTTAATTAATCTGGCTCCTTATAGTATAGATGAGTTTATAGATAAAAAATGAATTAGCTGTCCATTCTAAAATAATTGTAAAATTTATGGTTAAGTCATTTAGATTAAGTTGTATAACTAATGTTGTATGCTTTGACACTATTCATGTATATAAAATGTATAAAGTGAATAAAGATAATTTGATTTGATTTGAGCTGATTGAGAAGATGGATCATGAGGACCTTATCAAGTCTTCAAGGAAGATGGAACAGTCAACAGCTAACAAGTCCCACATTTTGTATTCCTCCATACTAGGCTTCTTGCATTTGAAAATTCTTTGCAATCTAATAATTTTAATTTGCTAACTCTGCACTTAACTGTCTTGAATATAATTTTTCGATTAAATATTTTACTTCAAAAGAACTTTCTCAATAATAATAATAAACTGGGTATTTTAATATCGACACGGTTTTTCATTGATCACATTTTCTTTTTCTTCCCCAGCGTCATCACCGTGTTGTTGGTGTGGGGCCAGATGCAAGGATTTCAACTAAATGGAAGGGTCTTTGTTCATGCTTTCCACATTGCAAGTTGTTTTCCACATTACATAAACTTGGCAATCCAAGAGATAGAACAAGTAATCTAATCTATCATTGACACTGATCCAGAGACTACAAATAGGAGAAGAAGACGTGTTGATTTAATTGCAAACTTCCTCAGCTTGAACTCATTTATATTAAACATCTATGCAAGACTATATACCCACCTGAGTCTGTACGAGGTCTATGGCCGCGGTGTACTGTTCTCGACCTGGAACTCCATAGGTCCTTTGCCAGTTGTCTTGCAACATCTCCCTGTCCAGGGTAAGACCAAGATACTGAGGACACAGTAGCGCCAACACTCCAACAACACTCTCCCCAACCAGGAGTAGAAGGAGGGAAAACAGGTACTGCAAAAGAAAACCTATGATTAAGTGTTGGTCTGGGACCACATTATGAATATTATGACCACCTATGGTCTCCATGGTTCCCGCCAGGCCCAGCTCACATCTAGGGCTCGCCTATGTGCCTCCTTTTGAAGCGCTTCATTAACTGTTGGGTTATCAATGACTTTTTGTCTTTTCAAAACTCTTTAATTAGATCCACAAAACATTTAATCAACACCATTTAATACTGCTGCAAAGACGATTACTGAAAATAACAATGTTGGTACGTCTCCTTAAATAGAAGTGAAACGTGAGTGACAAAAAATCCAAGATGGTGGCCACTCAATTTTTAATGTAACAGTGCTGCCATATTTTGGTAAGTTTCCAGTTGGTAAAACAACGTGTACATAGCCAGAGTTTGCCCAGAAGATGTAAGTAGGGCCTCAGAAGGAGCGTGGCGCTGCAAGGGACAAGGTGGTCAATAAATGGAATATAAAAGGTAAGACGTTATTGTTATTTTGGAGTCCTTGTCATCCCCCCCCCCCCCCCCCCCAGAGTCTCACAGCCAAGCGGGTGTCACTGGACAGCACTGGGAAGTCACAGGGTAAAAGAGAGTAAGGATGGTGACAAAAGGTGTAACAGATTTAGTGTAGGCGTGCCGGATAGCCCTGAGGTGAGATCCTGCGACAGGCTTCGTTCTCTGGTAAAGTAAGATAATTGACGGCTATGGTTACCTGGTACCAGTATCACAGAAAGCGTGGTAAAAAAAAACTGTGCGTAGTTCCGGTGATGTGTTAATTAGGGCTAAGTCGATAATTAAAGAGTATTATCAGGAGAAGATAATATCAGATGTGGAGATAGTAATAGCTTTGACTAAATAATACAACAACTAGACATTCCATCTCCATGTTAAAGTTGTAGCCAGGTTTTAAATAAAATTTGTCTTAGTTGATGTGAGCCACCTACAGATTGCGCTGATCCAAATGACTGATTCCTGCCGATTACACAATGGTTTTTACCAAGTCAAAATGATGGAATGACTTTTTATGAGCTATAGCAACTATTGTGACCCAGCAACTGATGAATGAATGATGAAGATGAATCCAAGATGGTGGACACCCATCATTTAGTGTGAAAGTGCTCCCTCTTTTAAAGTGAAGTTTTTTGGTAAAACCAACAAAATACCAAACTGCAACCAAACATTACTTCCAAACTGTAAGTTTATTCTAATAAAGCCAAATAGACATTTAAATACCTTGAAGATAATAAACATCCAAGAACAATTTTTGAAGCACAAACCAAGTAAACAGTTGAAACTAATTTTTCTCAACGGAAACTAAACAGTTGAAACTAAATTCTGACCACCGGATAGGACATTTCAAACTGTGAGTTGCTAAACATAAGATACTATTTCTCACAAAAACTTTAAGTAATCTAAATATTTCATCAGCTCACTTGAAACTTGGTGACCTACTTGCCAAAACAGCAAAAAACATCCAACTCAGCAGACAACTCAACACCTCTGACAATCGCTGCACATGCTGACCTACCTCAATTGCCGACCAATATGGCTCTGATTTAAATATAAATAGATAAAACTTTTTCCTATTATCTACTCACAACCACCAGAACCAGGCAAACCAGGTTATAAAAAACTGAATAATAATTTTTATTACTAAATTAACCACTGGAATCAGACAAACCAGGATATAAAAAACTGAATTATAGTTTTTAATACTAAATTAACCACTGGAATCAGACAAACCAGGATATAAAAACTGAATCATAGTCTTTATAACTAAATCAACTACTGGAATCAGACAAACCAGGATATAAAAAACTGAATTATAGTTTTTAATACTAAATTAACCACTGGAATCAGACAAGCCAGGATATAAAAACTGAATCATAGTCTTTATAACTAAATTAACCACTGGAATCAGACAAACCAGGATACAAAAAGCTAAATTACAGTCTTTATAACTAAATTAACCACTGGAATCAGACAAACCAGGATACAAAAAGCTAAATTACAGTCTTTATAACTAAATTAACTACTGGAATCAAACAAACCAGGAAATAAAAAACTGATCTATTGCTACTAATTGACTACCTACTGGAATCAGGCAAACCAGGATACAAAAAACTGTATCATTATTTTCATCACCAATGGAGAAGTTGGCAGTGGAGACAAAGTCTGATTTCTCCACAGGAGACATGGTTTTTGCAAAAATCAAAAGCTTTCCAAACTGGCCATTAGCAATTGAATCCATAATCCTGGAAGGAAAACATAAGAGCTTTATCATCGACAATTTTTAACCTGAACCTCAAGATTCCTGACATAAAGAACCAGCCAAACTTTTAAAAACTGATACAATATTACACCTGAACCTCAAGATTCCTGACATAAAGAACCAGCCAAACTTTTCAAAACTGATACAATTTCACACCTGAACCTCAAGATTCCTGACATAAAGAACCAGCCAAACTTTTCAAAACTGATATAATTTTTACACCTGAACTTCAAGACCCCTGACATGCTTTAATGGAGTCGCATATACAATATGGTCTTGTTGTCTGGGGCGGGACTATACTAAAAGCAACCTTAACAGAGTATTGAAGCTGCAGAAAAAAGCCATACGTATACTTGCCAACCTTCAACCCTCAGGCAGCTGCATGGAAGCTTTCAGATCGCTTGGTATTCTAACTGTTGTAAATCTTTACATCAAAGCAGTAGTCCTTCTGGTGAGTGAGTCTGATCTGCCAAAAAGTGAAAATTTTCACGCTTACAACACCAGGCGAGGAAACGACTTCATTCTGCCAGTGCATCATACCACGCAGTACGCCAGAAAACCATCCTACACTGGCCGCAAAGTCCACAATAGCCTACCACCATCACTGAAGTCACTGAAGGGAAAACCGCTGAAAACACATTTAAGTGGCTGATAGACAGACCTGCCTACTCCTTGAAGGAATTACTTGAATCTGATCTGAATCATTAACTTGAAATAAATTTTTCATGACATTGTTAAAAAAAAACAAAAAAAACTCTTGTAGCCTACTAGTTTTAAGTTATATTATTGTATTTTTATTGACGCCATTGTATTATTCTTAACGATACTACAAAATAAAGAATGATTTGATTTGATTTGATTAAGACACCAAAATACAACATCAAATTTTTTGGAGACTATACAACCGATGTAGTTAATAGAAGTGTTCTAAGTTCCTACGATGAGCACAAGGCTATATTTGGGATACCAAAAACAGAAAATGTTAGAAACAGAAAATTCAATGAAGCCCTTACACAAGCTGAATATACTTTTAGGCTAAATACTACTATCACACTAACAGCAACACCCCTATGTGAAACAGAAACTCCAAAACAATCCAAATACTTGCCAAATAATTTTAAAAAATCACTTGCAGAGGAAAATTTTAAATCTGAAGCTACTCAACAAACCACAAGTAATGATAATATTGACTCTGACACAGAACAATTATCCCAAGTTCTTTCGAGTCCCAACTTCCTGGCTGACCTCGAGAGTAGACTGGCAGAAGACAATCAGCTGAGTGAAGAGGATGCACTAACTATTGCAGCTAAAGCTGGTGCTGCTCTACTGGAGGAGAACAAGGCCCTAAAACAGCAAAATGACCAACTAACTACTAAACTAAACATTCTCCAAGTAACACAGAAGGAACACACAGCCAACCATAAAGGATCTGGAAACTGAAGAACACTCATATCTGGTAAGAATCGAACAATTACAAAAACAACTAATGGAACTAGACAACACTTTGGAAAAAGAAAAAAAACAATCGAAGGGACCTACAAAGCATTTTTGAAGAGCGAGATAGAGAGCGAGTGCAGAATATAGAAACATACCTAAAGAGAACAAGTCCTGAATGAACGCAAGGAAGTAAAACATGCTCATACTCAAACTAAAAGCACATCAGTAGAAACCTATGATCCTATCTCAAACACTACCCCAGCAATCTTACTCAGAATCCATGTCTATAAAAGAACTATAATTGAAGCTAAAGAATGCTGAAAGAGAACAAGCCCTAAATGAAAGCAAGGAAGTAAAACATGCTCATACTCAAACTAAAAGCACATCAGTAGAAACCTATGATCCTATCTCAAACACTACCCCAGCAATCTTACTCAGAATCCATGTCTATAAAAGAACTATAATTGAAGCTAAGGAAAGCTGAAAGAGAACAAGCCCTAAATGAAAGCAAGGAAGTAAAACATGCTCATACACAAACTAAAAGCACATCAGTAGAAACCTATGATCCTAAGCGAATCTATGGAGACTATGACAACTCACAGAACCAAGTTATTAATAAGTTATTAATTTACTATCTAAGTAAAATAGATAATATTGAAAAGAATGTATCAAGACTTCAAAGTGAATCAAAATTACATAGAGAATACACCAATAATATGAAAAAGACATACAAAATTGGGGAAACACAGACCCAATCCACTGAACCACCCCAGACCATACCAGCTCTCATGATGGCACTATCACTTGTAAAGGAAAGACAAGACAGTCTGAAACGTGCTGTCAACTACTTACAAGAACGAAATAAGATACAAAACACACCAAGCTCCAAAAAATGTTCCAACGAGGCAGACACAAAGAATATCCCAACACCACTAGTAAACGATCCTGCCTGGCCCCAATCCGGACCCAATTCATTTAGGAGAAAGGGTCTAAAAACTAGGGAATCTAAAAATCACTTTAGCGTGTCACTTCAGATGGAACGTTTCAGACAACAATAATAAATACAAGAACCATCTGGAGACACTGACATGGCTGTAGAACCAAACTTAAAGCCTAAAAACTGTATTCTGACACTGATGCAAAAACAGACAACCTAACCTAGACAAACATGACCAAAAAAATGAATCTTAAAAATAAACTAGAGGGAGACAGCCATACCCTGACTAAAAAACTGATACCTGAATCAAAACCAGAGGGTGACAGCCAAACCCTGACTAAAAAACTGATACCTGA